AAAAAAAAACCACAAAATAGATCTATGTTATAAAGAAATAACTGCTTTTTTCTCCAAAGAAAAAAGTGAACTGGGGGGTAGTGGAGGGCAGGGAGGAAAATGTGCAAAAATGGATGAATGGAAATCCAAGTTCTCTATAAACTTTCATTTTATTTATTTTTTCCATGTTATGTGTGATATTTTTCAGTCTTTTTCTCACTTCTAATTTGGTAACATATGCTAACATTTGTCTCCTCACATTTTTTTCAACAGTTTCACCCTTCATTTTTAAGAAAGTCATACAAACTTCAATGTTCTAAAATGTTTATTTTGAAACCATTTCACTTTTTAAACTTCTTCATTGTTTTTCATGGAATCAATTAATTAATCTTGACAGAGAATTAATTATTTGTCTGCAAAGAAATTTATTATTTCAATATTTATCATTTGACTTTGCATTCTTGTTTAATTAATAGGCCAACTTTTCCAGAACAACATTATACTAAGCTGCATGGTGCATCTGATTCAAGACACGATCTTTTCAATTACTTATCATTCATCTGAAATTTGAATAATGACTAAGGATGACAGAAGAACTGATGCCTTTGAGTTTTGGTATTGGAAAAGAGTACTGAATATCCCATAGATGCCAAAATAACAAACAAGTATGTCTTGGAGAAAAATACAGCCAGGGTGCTCTGCAGAGGCAAGGATTGTGAAGCTTCATCTCACATATTTTGGGCATGTTGTTAGGAAGTGCCAGTCCGTGATAAAGGACATCATGCTTGGAAAGGTGAGGGTCAGTAAAAAAAAAAAAAAAGACTCTCGACAAGATGGGATTGAGACAGTGACAGTTATAATGGGCTCATGTGTATCAGAGATGATTAGGAAGACATAGAATTGGGCAAGGTTCAGATCCATTATTCATAGGATTGCTATGATTTGTAGTAGACTCAATGGTACCTAACAACAATTTTTACATATAATTCTGGAAGTTACTCTGCTCTATTTAGCTTATAAAGAAAAGATTTAACACATTTTATGTTTAATGTACACTATGTCCAAGGCCCTATTCCAAGATTTACACATATGAGCTAATTTAATTTTCACAACAACCCTAAGAGTTATTATCCCCAATTTACAGATGAGGAAAATGAAGGTATAAGTATTTTAACATATCTTGTCTGTCTTACCCAGTGAAAAATAAGAGGCAGAGTTGAGACAGGAATTAAGAAAGTCTAGCTCAGAGGATGCATACTTTTTAAATCAAATTTATGAAAAATTAAAATCCTAACAAATCGTTGCAAACTTGCACTAAAACTTACCTAGTGGCACACTTTGTTAATACTTTGCCACAACAATCTTATTTCTCTCCCTAAATACACGCAGCATCAGGATGGATGGTAAAGAGATTGAGATTGTTCACAGCTTCAGTTTGCTTGGTTACACAAACAACACTCTTGGCAACAGCAGCCAGGAAATTAAAAGACGTATTGCAATGGGAAAGTCTGCTGTTAGGGACCTCTCCAAAGTACTGAAGAGCAATGGTGTCTTTCTGGAGACTAAGGTGCGTCTGATACAGGCCATGGTCTTTGCTATCACTTGTTATGCATCAGAGAGTTGGACAATGACTAAGGAAGATAGAAGGAGAATTGATGCCTTTGAGCTGTGGTGCTGGAAGAGAGTATTGAGGGTATCATGGACTGCTAGGAAAACAAACAGATTCATCCTGGAAAGGGTCAAACCAGGCGGCTCCTTGGAGGCAAGGATACTGAGTCTGCGTCTAACACAGTCTGGACATGTTGCAAGGAGGGACTGGTCCTTGGAGAGGGACATCATGCTTGGGAGGGTGGAGGGACAGTGCAGGAGGGGAAGGCCCTCTATGAGGTGGATTGACTCAGTGACTTGGGTATACAGGATGGGCGTGTCAGAGACAGTGAGATTGGCAGAGGACAATAGGGACCTAGGGCTGTTGTACATAGGGTCGCTATGAGTCAAAAGCAACTCGATGGCACATAACAACAACAAATACACACACACGTTATACAGTTTCTTAAGATTTTATATACTTTTTTTTTCCTGAATTATATCCAGGAATTAAAGAGAGCAAGATGCTTCAAAGCATGCAATCATTTAAGTACACTGTGCTGCCTCTAATAACAGGTATACACATATTATCTTATATAGTACAGGTTCAAACTCCTATGAGGCTAATAGTCTTTAAGAACTTGTAAACAGCTTCATGGGAAAATATTGAGTGCTCACAAGGGAAGCACAAAACTTTCATTTCAATGATCTGCTCTAAAATTAAAAGAAGAGATCCACAGCTGCTAACAAACTTTTAAGTGATCTGTTAAAAAATTGAGGCTCTAAGTTTTCTTAGAGTTAGGTGATACTCAGGATACCAGCTAAGCACGACAATAGGACTATGATTCATTCTAAAATACAAAATAAGTGAAACTAAGGTTAACAGTTTAACCTCGTTAGTAACTAAGTATAGTAAACAGCTTCTATAATTATCAAATATACTGCACACACTTACCACAGTAAACACAGGGGCGACGCTGGCTAAAGTGGCCTGAGAGACATCAAATGTTCTACACCGGTGCACTTCACCTGAAAAGATAAATTAGAGAGCATGCCCCATGATCATACAGTTAATTTTCCCACACAGAGATAACATTCAAAATATGTGGAGGCCTTCATAATATTTTATTACTTGTTTGAAATTGTTTTTCTACAGGAAAAATAAAATACTAATTTTAGTATTTGTAAGTCATTATCAGATTTTTAAAAGTAATGGCTTTATTGTCTCAGGAGGCAGCAAAATCCAAATATATGGTCCACATATATGTCATATACAGTGCACCAAGGAGGACAAAGCAGCACAGCCCAACTCTAGGAAAGGGTGTCCTCCCTCCAGCTGATGCAGGCCCTGTTCACTGGCCTCACACCATGGCCAGACTGACAACTATGTTACTTTGATAAGTAGTGACTGAGGTCTTAAAAGTCTGTGAGTGGCAACCGAAGGTACAAGTATTAGTCTCTTCCTATTTGGAACAAGGAAGAGGGAAGAAAAGCAAACATGCACAGAAACAAGAGACCACTTACACTTCAACCTCCAGAACCCAAAGACCAGAGCTACTATTTTATATGCCATCAAGTTGAACATGACCCATAGCAACCCTTATGAACAACGAATCTGAATCCTGTACTATCCTGTGCCATCCTCACACTTTCTGACACACTCGAGCAGCAGTCACTATGTCAGTCCACTGAAGGTCTGTCTTCTTTTCCTTCACTGACGCTCCACCTTTCCAAGCATGATGTCCTTCTCTTTGAAATAGCTTCTCCTAGCAAAATGCCAGAAGCTTTATCATCTTTGCCTCCAAGGAGCACTCTGGCTGCACAAGACATATTTGTTTGTTCTTTTGGCAGTCCATAGGATATTCAGAACTCTTCTCCAATGCAACAAAGGCATCAATTCTTCTTCTCCCATTCTTGTTCACCATTCAGCTCTCAGACGCACAGCAAGTGAATGACCATGGTTTGAATCAGACTGAATCCTCAAACTGACATCACTGCTCTTCAATAATTTGGAGAAGTCCTTGACTGTAGATTTTTTTTCCCCAAGTGCAAAAAAAATCTCCTGATCTGCTGACGGCTTGTACCAAGGTTGCTGATTATGGATCCAAACCAAGTAAGAACTATTAAGGAGTTGCAAAAACAACTCAGAATTTTGGTTGCTTGGTTTTTATGCAATAACTTCATAATACATCTTATTATAAAATATTAAATGTTATATGTCATGTTCAAGATTGTATTACACATATTCTTTCTGGGCAATAGTTTTAAATATAAATTACATTTTTGTGTATTTTTAGGACATAGAATGTGAAAATAAGATTTTCACCAAATCTACTCTTAGGAATTCAAACTAGGCTGCAATGCAGCAAAAATAGCTCAAAATATCATTCGAATTTGGGACAAGGTGAAATATCAATTGTCAGGGCCACAGAGCTGCTCTCCCTCCCTTTACCCAGCACTTTCTCTCTCCACTCCCTACAGCTATAGTAATGATCAAAGCAGGAACTCAGTTTATCTGTTAGAGCTGCAAAATTCTTTCACCTCTCTTTCCCAGGAATAACTATCCAGGACTCCCAACCTGCTCCCTTATCTTGTACCAAACAGCTGCAAACATCCTAACTCTTAATTTCCCTGTAAGACAATATAACACTCTAACTTTAAGTGGCTGCTGATCTCTGCTTTGGAGGCAGCCTGGCAGTTTCTCCTCAATAAACTGTCTTTCTTGGCCTGAAATGGGTTCTGTCCTTCCTTGGGGATCTTATATCAATGAAGTTTAGGATGAGAGAAATCGCAATGAATATGCTGGGCAATGAGGGTTTCAAAATTTCTGCCTTGGTGAATTTGGACTCAAAGAAAAGAAAGGTCATGGGTGGCCATTGGAAGTTGATGACAACCAGGTGACGGCAATAACTGAAACTAATTCCCTCCAAATTGCACTGAGTTGTTGCAGAAGAACTCATCTGTCACTTGGGGTACAATGGAAGGTCCATATTCCTATGTAGCAACAAAAAATCTTGATCTATTTCTCAATCCTAATTTGTGATGAAAAATGGATTCTCTACAACAACTGATGACATTCAGCACTATGGCTGGATCAAGGTGAATTACTGCAACATCACCTAAAACTGAGCTTACACAAAAAGAATGTCATGGTAACTGGTGGTGTGCAGCCAGATTAATTCTGTAACTCCTTGAATCAAAGTGAAACTATTACAGCAGGGAAGTTCTGCAACTAAATATGTAACATTTGTATCTAGCACTGGTCAACACAAAAAAAGTCCTTCTGCATGGCAGTACTAAACCACATATACCACAATCAACACTTCAAAATCTCAACTATTTAGGCTAAGAAATGCTGCTTCATCCATCATACTAACAGATTTCTCACCAAGTGATTATCCAAGCATCTCGACAACCTTTTGAGGAGGAAATCTTTAAAGACCAACATGCTGCCAAAAATATTGTTAGGGAATTTGTTAACTCCAAAAAGCTAGAATTTTATGCTTTTGGAATTAAACTTGTATCCTGATGGCAAAAAGGTATAGTTTTTAATGGTTCTTAATTCAATTCATAACGTTAAATTTGAGCAGACTTACAGAATTTCAAAGTCGAGGTTTAAAATTTTGCATCAATTTTTCCAACAAGTTTCGTTGTTTCAGGATTGTGCACCTGATCCTGGTCTTTTCAATTACTTGCCATGTATCTGAAAGTTCAACAAGGAATAAAGAGAACAAAAGAACTGATGCCTTTCAGCTGTGTTGAAGAAGAGTACTGAATGGACTGCCAAAAGAATAAACAGGTATATCTTGGAGAAAGTGCAACCAGAGTGCTCCTTAGAGGAAAAGATGGTGAAACCTCATCTCACGTACTTTGGGCATATTGTTAGGAGCTCCTGGAAAAATACATCATGCTTGGAAATGTGGAGGGGGGAGCAAAAGAGATGAAGACCCTCAACAAGATGAACTGACATAGTTGCTGTATCAATGGGACAAGTGTATTAGAGATGATGAGAAAGTCACAGAAGTTCAGAACCATTATTTACAGAGTTGCTATATGTTGTAGCCAATTTGACGGTACTTAACAACAGAAGCTACCACAGAAGTTCCTAGGCAGACTGGGTGGAAAAATGTCAAACAAAACTCAAAATGCACAATGTCCAGGCTTACTGGTCTGCTAGAGACTGGTGGAACCCCTCTGGAAATCTTCTGAACCTGGGACAAAACTTACTAGACTCAACTTTGGGCCAAGTAACAGACACGCCTCTACTCCTTAAAGCAATCGATCATATAAGATCAAAAGGGCTGGATTTGCCCAGGGACAAAGCTCAGAAGGCAGTAAGGAGTAAGAGAGGGGGATTAATGGAAATGAGAATCGCTGGGAAAACCTGACAACTGCAGTGGATATTGTATGGATATTGTAAATTAAAATGTGTATGAATGGCTGAAACAGAAATCCAATTTGTTCTGTAAACCATCATTCAAATCTCTGCCTGCACTGTCCCCCAAAACAGTAATGGTTTAAGTAATAATTTTTTAGATTTCAACCTCCTTTTCCCTCTGGTGGCCTAGTGTTAAGGAGCCGCACTGCCAACTCACAGTCACATGGTTCCAATTCCAGATATTCTAAGGGGCGAAATAAGGGTAACCTCCTCCCATGCGATTTATAGCCTCTGAAAACCTGCTGGAGTGTCAGCTATGTGTCGGTTCCTACTCAATAGCACATAACAACACAGCAATTAATAACGCTAATTTCAGAGTTGAATGAACAAATAAACAACATATTCTCTGAAAACTGTTTCAGCCTTACTTAGCGTGTCACCCAACTCCCAAGTCCTGCCTTGGAGGCAACTGCATAAAAGGTCTATGAGGAATACATAGAGAAGAGGGGAAAAGAATAATACTTGTAAAACGTATTCCAAGTAGATAAAAATCTAAGCTTGGTTTCATTTTGTTGAGTAGGTGAAATAAAATCTTCACGAGCAACAGAGGGTACGATGAGAAAGCTGTCAAAGCAAAGGACAAGACAGAGATCTAGGAAAATCTGTAAGATCTGCAGCAAGGCGGGAGAAGGGGGGGGGAGTGAGGACAAGGAGCCAGGGCGGCTGGGCGATAAGGGAACTAAAGTCACTCACTATGGGCGACCTAGGGCTGCGGGCTGGGGAGGGGTGGTACCTGCCACCCGGAACCGGCGGGGTCGGCACAGCTGAGCCACCCGGCTCCTTCCTGGAAGTTCCGCTGCGAGGCCGCTGCCGACAACCCGGAGGGTCACAGGGGTCGGGCCCAAGGCCAAAGCACACAAGGTCCGGCGGGGCAACACCACCGCGTGGGGCAAGAGTCGGCTCAAGCTCTGCAGACATTTCATGTTGCTGGAGCGAGAAACTAGCAGCCAGAACCCAAGCCTTCATGCCGGACAGCAGCAACTTGGTCAGTCCCACCCCGCCCACCCCCACATTAACCGTGACCGCTGTGTACTGAGCATGCGCACGGAGCTCCACTCGGCGCACAATCTTTCCCACGCATGCTCCGAAGGTGCCTGTGAGAGCTTTGATCCGTGGCCAATAGGAGTTTGCGTCCTGCACTTGAATATTTATTTACCTGGGAAAGGCCAGCTTCCGAAATGTCATTTGGCTCTGGGGGGGTTTATGAGTAAATAGGCCAGCAGTTTAAAATATCAGATATTTCTATTAACTTTCGAGTTGCTGTCGATTTTCACCCTGTGTAATTCTCTGAATGTGGGGGTAAAAAAATCCTTACATCTGTATAATGATTGAAGACGTAACCATCAGTCCCAAATAATTTTATTTTTGCTTATATTGAATTTAGAAAAATAGTTAACTTATTATTATTCATACAATATATTTATTTAGTAGTAGGAAAAACATCCAGTGTTTTATCTTGGCATAAATTGTGAGGATAGTGCAGGATAGGGTAAAGTTCTGATCTGTGCAGAGTTGTAACCGAATCAATGACCTTTAACAAATGTGAATACACCCCCCCCACACACACACACATCCCCTCCCCCCAATTAACCCCTCTGGATTAGTGATGAGTAATGGTGCTGCCAATACAAAGGTGTGTGAGGTTTAAATCTGACAGCCACTTCGAGGGGGTGGAAGGAAAGTAAAGCAGTCTTTCTTATGCTATTTACTGCCTCTGAAAACCAGCCGGAGGGCCCTCTATGGGTCAGTTCTGGGTCACAATAACTACAAATATTAAGCGTTGGATAGATGAAGTATTAGATTTTTGATAATGAAGAATATGTATACACAGGGCTTATATCTAAGGTTACATCATTAAAAAATTATATGATTTTGTGTGAGGAGAGGAGCCCTAGTGGTAAGTGGCTACTTAATGAAAAATTGGTAATTGGTAATGATTCAAACTCAGCAGCTGTTCTATAAAAGCAAAGATGTCAATCAACCTGCTCAAGATTACAGCTCTAACCTGATCAAGATTTACATCTCTGGAAACCTTACAGTGAGAATTCACCCCCTTCTATGTTGAAATACACTTGCTGGCAACTTTTTTGGTAAGCTTTTATTATTTTATGTACCAACAGGAAAGATAAAAAATGTCAATTAAACAATGTTTTATGATGATATAAATTACATTTCACTTCCAGTCATTAAAATATTTGAAAGAGTTTGATAATTGATTGAATATGTTATGTTGTTGCGGTTCTTATGTGCCATCAAGTCACGTGTGACTCACTCACAGTGACTCTGTGCAATAATTCTTAACTCTTTTCTATCTTGAACCAGTCTCACTGACTCCAACACACCTACCTCCATTACTCCAGTTACTGTGTCAATCCATCTCATCTGGTGTCTTTCTTTCCTTCACTGTCCCTCTATCCTCCAAGCATGATGTCCTTCTCCAAGGACTGATCTCTCCTGACCACATGCCAAAAGTACGTAAGATGAAGCTTCAAAAATCCTTGCCTTTAAAAAGAAACTTGGTTTCTTTCACCCTCTCCAATACAGAATTTTTTGTTCTCTTAGCAGTCCATGGTATGTTCAAGACTCTTCTCTAGCACCACAGCGTAAGGGCATAGATTCTACTCTAGTAGTTTGAAGAGGTCCCTGACAGCAGACTTCTCCTGTGAAATTAGTCATTGATTTCTTGACTGCTGGTGCAAAGGGTGTTGATTGTGGAGCCTAGCAAGCTAAAATTGTTAGCAATTTCAATCTCTATCATGGTATTGCCAATTGGCACAGAGCTGAGAATCTTTGTTTTCTTGATGTTAAGCTTCAATCATATTGAAGACTATAGTCCTTGATATCTGCAGCAAGTGCTTCAGGTCCTGCTTGGTTCTGCCAAGCAAGGTTGTGTCATATGCATAAGGCAGGTTGTTGATGAGTCTTCCTCCAATTCTGATGCCACATTACTCTCCTCATAAAGTCTAGTCTCCCAAAGATCTGTTCCACACACAGATTGAAAAGGTATAGAGACAGGATACATTCTTGACACACTCCCTTCCTAATTTTTTACCATGTAGTGTTTTCTTGTGTTCTGATGACTACTCTTGGTCCAAATATATGTTTCTCACGAGTGCAATCAAGTGTTCTAGAATTCCCATTATCCTCAAAGTTAGCCACTATTCTAATCTATAGTCAAATAAAATACCTTTTCAGAGTTAATGAAGCACAGATAAACATTTCTGTGGTACTCTGCTTTCAGCCAATATCCATATGACATCAGCGATAATATCTCTAGTGCCACAGCCTCTTCTAAATTTACCTTGTATTTCTGGTAGTTCTCTGTTAATGTACTGGTCCAGCTGTTTTTGAATAATCTTCAGCAGGAATTTGCTTGTGTGTGCTATTAGTAATATCATTTGATAATTTTCACACTCTGTCGGGTCATATTTTTTGACATGGAAATAAATATGGATCTCTTCCAGTCAGTTGGCCAGGTAGTTGTCCTCCAGATTTCCTGGCGTAACCTGGTAAGCACATCCAGGGCAGCATCTATTTGTTGAAGTATATTAATTGGTATTCCATCAGTTCCTGAGTCCTTGCTTTTCGCCAAGTCCTTCAGAGCAGCTTGAACTTCCTACTTCACCACCATTGTTTCTTGATCATTTGTTGTTTCATGAAATTCTTCCATGTCAGCTAATTATTTTTGGTAATGTGACTGTACTCTTTCCATCTTTTTTTAAGCTTCTTGGATCATTCAGTATTCTAGCAATAGCATTCTTAAAGCTTGAATTTGTTTTTCATTTCCTTCAGCTTAAATACTGAGCAAGTTCAGCCCTTTCAACTTTTCCACTCCAGCTCTTTGCACATTTTATTATAATATTCAAGATACAATATTACATTAAAATATAATTTTAGTATAATATTATAATTCCTGCTTTATTCCCTTTGTTTTGGCTTCTGGACACTCTAGTGCAATATTCAGAATGTCTCTGAAATTCCTAATGGTCTTTCCTTCCTCCTCTGTCTTTGTAATGACCTTTTGCATTCTTTGTGAATGACGTTCTTCATATTCTCCTACAGCTAGTACTCTCCTGTAGACCCTGGTCTTAGTGGCATGGGCACCTCAGCCCCCAAAGGATGTGTGCTACATTCTCTGTTGCTTCTTTTTTGCTGGTAGTGTGATTCCTCAAGTTTCTGCCACTGGACTTGCTCACTTTAAACTTGATGGAATGGTCAAACTAGCCAATGGTTTGAAATTGAGAAGGGAGTGCATCAGGATTGTATTCTCACTCCATACCTACTCAATCTGTATACCAAAAAAATTATTTGAGAAGCTGAACTCTATGAAGAGGAATATGGCATCAGGATTAGAGAGAGACTCATCAATAACTTGGGTTATACAGATGATACAACCTTGTTTGGTGAAAGTGAGGAGGACTTGAAGTGCTTATTGCAGAAGATCAAAGTATACAGCCTTCAATATGGATTTCATTTCAACATCAAGAAAACAAAGATTCTTACCACAGGACCAATAGGCAACATCATGGTAGATGGAGAAAAGATTGAAACTGTCAATAACTTCATCTTATTTGTATCCACAATTAATACAAGGTGAGGGACAGTACAAGAGAGGAAGACCCGCGATGAGATGAATTGATTCAATGACTGAGGTAATGGGTGTAGGCGTGTCAAAGACAATAAGATTGGCACAGGCCAGAGCAGCGTATAGGGCCATTGTACATGGAGTTGCTATGAGTCGCAAGCTACTTGATGGCACATAACAACAACAACAATAATAACATACCAAGAGTCAGAAAACATATTATCCTGGAAAAGTCTGAAGTTAGGAATTTCTCTAAATTATTGAGGAGTAATGATGTCATTTTGAGGACTAAGGTGTGTCTGATTCAAGTGTAATCTTTCTGATCACATCACTTGATATGCTGGACAATAAATAAGGATAAATAAGGGTTGATGCCTTTGAGTTGTGGTGTTGGAAAACAATGTTGGCCATCCCTTGGACTGCCAAACAAACACATATGCCTTGGGGAGTGTGTAGCTAGAGTGCATTTTGGAGGCAAAGATGATGAGGCTTTGCCTTACATACTTTGGGGATGTTGCTAAGAATGGCTATTTCTTGGAGATGGACATGATGCTGGGAAGGGTGGACAGTCGATGAAGGAGAGGAAGACCCTTAACCAAGTGGAATGAAATGGTAACTGTTGAAATGGTCTCCAATGTGTCAGGAAGTATGAGGATGGCACAGGACAGGATAGAGTTCATGTCTGTTGTTCATAGTGTCGCTATGTATCATACTTGGTTAAATGACACCCAACAACAACAGCAAGAATATTCAAGCATGTGGCAAAGTCAAGGGTAATGGCCTAGAAAAGTTGTTTGACACAATAGACCCACTATACCAAATCATCCTTTTATAGCAATAATACAAATGAACTTCGAAGGTTTTTATTCAATCACTATGACTTCTACCAGCTTTTGCACTCTGAAATAGATCAAACATATAACTAAGTTTCATTATTAGTAACTGGTAAGTGAGATGCAAAATTTTGAAACAAAGAAGGAATAATAGTTGGAAAATACAGACTTGGTGACAGAAATGAGGCTGGAGATTGCATGATAGAATTTGTACAATTATGATTTATTCACGAAAATATAAATAATGACTATACACATAGCCTCATCTGGCAGACTACACTGAAATCAGATTGACTATCTTTGTGAAGAGTTGATGGAGAAGCTGAAGCTTAACAGTCGAATCAAGGCCAAGTGTTATCTTTGGAACAGATTATCAATCACTGCAGTGTAAGTCCAAACTGAAGTTGAAGAAAATGACAGCAAGGCTGTGAAAACCAAAGTACATCCTTGCATCTATCCCACCTGAATTTAAAAGTCATCTCAGGAATATATTTCATTCATTGAA